AAATTAAAAAGATAAATTTTTTTCCAATGCTTAAGAAATATGTTAAATATTGCTTAAGGTAATGCGTATAGTTTAAGAAATCTGTTAAATAACCTAAATTCGAGCCAACTTTGACATTATTTATAATTACTTTTAATAAGATGATACATGTGTGCAATAAAAAATATGAATTTTTCAAAAGTAAAGAAAAAAGACTAAACACCTTTCCATTACTTCATTCATTTACAATATCTTTTTTCCTTGACTCAATATTTCTCCCATGCAACACATGGATTAAGCTATTATAAAATTGAATTTATTTATTTTGTAAAAATTATTTTTAAAGAGCGGCATAAAAATAAAGTATGTCTTTAAACATGAATGTGATAAGATTTCAAACATTGAATGGTCAGACTTGTTAAAAAACCCTTATATCATACCAATGCCATTTTAATTATAATAAACACGCAGACTGCTCCTGTGACCTTACATGATGGAAACCTAGGATAGAATGGGTCAAGTCGACGTGGGGATAAAGATGGAAATGAGCAGCCAAGAAAACAACGAAATGTAAATAAACAAGGGAACGTGTTTTGATTGTGCGTCCATGTTGTCACTTTAAATTACATTTCATTTTTGGAAAATTACATTTAAGACTTGATACAAATTAATTAAGTCCACATATTTTAAAAATTACTAAATGTAATCTTTAAAACAAGAAAGGTAATGGTTATGCAAAATAAAGAAAGATATTTTTTGAAATGAAGCCAGACTTTAAAGAAGGGTTGTGTAAATTAAGCTTCAAAATTTCTAGAATTTTCAGGATTATTCCATGGCCATTGAATTCCAGCCTCGATGAATCAGTCATATATGCAAAATATTAATGTTAATTGTTCTTAAATACTAATTTATCACGTCACCAAGCCTTTACCAAATGTTAGAGCTGTCAATTAGGATCAATTATTGAAAGGTCAATGTCAAAATAAATTAGCCCTGTTAAGCTCGATTTCATGTTAGAGTTCCATTTTGACCGTCTGGGCCCTTGCCCTTAGCGCCTCAACCCTATATTTATTTTATTTTATTTTTTAATTTAAAATTTTAAAAAATATATTTAAAATCTAAAAAATTTATTATGCATAACATTAAGTATAGCATAATAAATTTAAGATAATTCACATAATAATAAATTTAAGTCTGATCAAGAGTAGTAACATTACAAAATCAACACCAATAATAATTAAATTTTACTAACATCATCAGCTAAATCTTAATAATTTTTATTATCATAAACATCAATATAATTTGATCCTTCTCCTTGTGAAGTCTCATCGGTTATTACACATAACATATAGTTTTGTAATGTTTATTTTTATATTAAATTTTAAAAAAATATAAGAGGTTTTAAAAGAACTGGATCTTTTACTTTCAAGCTTTTACACCTATAAAAAGCCTAACAATTAATTTTTTAAATTTAAAAGAGTCAACCCAATGGGTTCAATTCTAATTGATAACTCCACCAAGTGCTAAACACGTGTATATACATTCACATGGCAATGGTGCATGCACAAAGTTTCTTTTTTTTTTTGTTGAAAATCAATCAATCAATCTACTACTGAAACAAAGTATAATAGCTTCTTAGTGTACACTTGCATGCAGTAAAAAGCCATTGCACTTAATATTTTTATTGTTTTTTTAAACATATATTTTTAAAAATATTTTTAATGATAAGTTATTAAAATATATTTATTAAGAAGTTAACACCATAAAAAGCTGCCTTTAATATTTTTATTTTAGCTTTTTTAATTTTATGAAATTTTTAGATTTTTTAAATTTACCCATTTATTTTGCATTTTTATTTTTAATTTTTTAAGTGACTCATAACTGCACATTATATATGGGGTAATAAATCATTCTCTCCATTAAAAAATGTAAGGTATTTTTCAAGGGGTTGAATGTTAAAAAATGTAAAGTATTTTTAATTTTTTAAAGTATAATTATTACCTTTTTTTTAAAGTATCCTTATTGAATAAATCAATTTATATTTATTTTAAAGTAAAATATTCTATTAAATAAGAGTAAATATGTAAATATAGGGTTATTTTAAAATCATACAAATACTTTATTTGAGGGTGAGATTCGATTAAAAATATTTTATATTTTTAAATGAAGAGGTGTGAGTTATAGTGTGTTGTTAAAATTTTTAGTTCTCATGGGTGGTAAGTTACTAAATATTTCTTTACATTATTATTTAGACTAAGTTTTAAACTAAATGAGTTCAAATATTATAAAATAAAATAAGGTTTGTATTATTTATATTTTTAATATGCATCAAAATGAAAATAGAATAAAATAAAACAAGTTATTTCTTATATTTTTAATTTACAAGGGATGATAAATTTTGAATTGCACGTTGTTGCTAATATTCTTTTTAATGCGCACGTAGTTAACAAATTAAAAAGAGTGATGAGTATTATCTAAATTTTTTCTCATCATTTTAATGTATTACTTATACTTTGATGAGTACGGTGTTAAAAATAGGGAAATATAGTTGAAAGTTTTTAATTGATTTTTTCTTTTTTTTTCTCTTTCACTTTCTCCCCATTAAAATGTTATAATTCTACTTTAATTATCTTAACGAGACGGTGTCACATGAAAGGAATTCATATCAATATAAATTTTATGTTCTTGAATTTTTAAAATCTTTTTTGTAAACCAAACAATCCATTGAAATTTAAATTGTTTCTTTTTATTTTCTCACCATTGAAATCTTTTAGCTATAGCTTTTTTCATTTTTTTAAAAGAGAGACATTTATTTCTCATATCCTGTTGTATAATTGCATTTGCATGCTTTAAATATATGATATATAATCACCCTAAAATAATAAAATATATAAGTAACTAATATTAAATAAATAAGACATTAATACAGGTTGAAGATTCTGCTTAGTAAATTAAAAGAATCATTCTATTAATATGCAATAGATAAATGTTTTTGTCGTGAAAAAAAAAACTAATGTTTTTAAAATTACATTACATTGCAATATTTCATATATCATGTATGGTGAAATATTTCTCGCGTCGGGACAAGTTCTAGTTATACCAAAAAAAAAAAATCCTGTTGAAAATAATATAATATACACAAAGAGCCGGGCTGGCCATATGCACAAAATAAGCTAAGCGGTAAAGTGGCGTGTATGTGAATCTAGAAAGACAATATTCTCACAATAACTTGATTATCTTTCATTGATTTTCCCACGCACGCAAAAATGAAGATGACGGTAATGAATAAGAGGCTGGGAGGCCTCAGGCACAACTTCCAAAAAGAAAAAGAAAAGGAGAAAAAACGATAAGAGGGGCTAACTTTAAGATAGACATCACGCCACACATTTTTGGATTGATCGGTTTCCTCTTCCAGCCCTCACCCTACTCCTTGTTAAATTTAGAGATTAAATATTTTAATTTTAATTTTATATTTATTAGCATAAAAAATTAATTTTTTTGTATTAAATCTGATTAGCAATTTAGATAATTCAGATTTAATACAAGTGGTTCAAATTTTTATAAATTAATTATGTAAATATATTCTAAACAGTTTATATTAAAATTTTTTAATTAATAATTTTTTAAAATTTTCCAGAAGAATAGCATTTTTATTTTTAATAGATAATTATCAAAATAAAATTTATAAAAATTATAAAAAAAATTAAATCTACACCATTCAAAGTAGATATGTACAGTCATTTTTATAAAAATTATGAAAAAATGTAATATTAAATTTAAACTATTGGAATAACTAGAGTGATCATTCAGCAAATTTATTAAAATTATTATAATTTTTACAAATAATTAATTTTATAAATAAAATTAAAAATTTAAATTTGAAGCATGTGAAGAGGAGGGTGGAAGTAGGGGCTCCTCTTGGTGGAAAGCCACCTTCCACTTTCTATCACATTCAGATTTTTTTTCTCTCCCTCCGCATTCACCATATTAATATATTACATCCTTAAGATAATCTAATGAAAGGACTCAATAAATATTATAAAATTCTCTAGCAGTAATTAAAAAAAAAAATTGCCTGCCATCCATTGGGTGCCTTTATAATAACTTTGTGTGTGTATATGAATTTAAATCCTCTTAAAAGAAAATGTGTGAATTTATGTAAAGTATTTTTAAAATATTTTTATCATTTGATTATTTTTTAGAAAATATAAAATACTTTCTTCTTTATTTAAATTCATCTTAATTTTAGAGAATTTAAATTTAAATCCTATATGTGTGTGTGTATTATAGGAAAAGACTTAAGTACTTAAATATTATCTCAAATATTTAATATACTGTTATTCAATCAAGAAGATTAAATAAGTAGATTTAAAGTGTTAAAAAGATTAATAACATGTTTGTTATCAACCTATTATTTATGAAGCTGTTAATATAACTTATAAAATCAATTATATTATTTATTAAATTTTAATATACTGGAATAAGAATAGTTTGATTATTTTATTTTATAATATTATTTCACTTCAGCCTGATATCCTGAAATCAAATTTTGGATTGTATTTGGTGGTTTCATTCCATGATAATTTATTCCGTAAATCTGGAAATCCTTTTTCCCTAAATAAAAGTAAAAAAATCCCCTGGCAGACGCGCTATTCACTTTCTGGATCGCGGCAGCACCCTTCATCTCCGTCACTCATCTTCTCTCAGTTCTCGCTCTCTCTATAGTCTCTACCTTCTGCTTCAATTCATTCCAAACCTTGCGTCAGTATATGTGGCTCTCTTATCCTAACACACATCATCAACTTCTTTTTTCCCTTCCACCTGTGCCCTACCAAACGCTGCTTGCACAGGTGGCATGCTGTAAATCAGAATGACTGAGAAATCAGTTTCCCCCCTTTTTTTTTATAAATTATAATTATAAATATGATATGATTTCGGTTGATGGTGCTGATTTATTTATTTATTTATTTTTTTAAAATAACTCGGGCCACTAAAATTTATTCCAAAATTCTTCTTCCGCAAAATGGCAAAACCGAGCCGACAAAGCTCACTCGGCTTCTGGAAAAACATCACAAGCGTCTTTGACCTAGCACCTCTCTGGCTCCCGCCAAACCTCCCTGATATCGCCCTGTTTCCCCCCAAAGCCCTAACTTCTCATCATTCTGTTAACACCATTGTCTAACTTTTTGTCGATTCAACTATTCTTACTGCAATTTTTGGCACTTTTTGCTGAATTGAATTGATTGCTGATTGGACGCGAAGGCAAAGAGCGGGAGATGTCACAGAAGTTCTCGCCAGCTCTTCGGATTGGAGATCTCAATGATTTCATAGCGCCATCTCAGGCATGCATAGTCTCTCTCAAGGGATTAAAGTCTAGCACCACCAAGCCCGACAAGACTGAGGTATTCGGTTTTGGTTTCATTGTTTCATTGAAAACTGGATAAAGTTATGCTGGTTATTTAGCTATGCTTGCTCATGAAATATATGTCAATTTTATTTTTCCGACCCCAAAGGTATGAAAAGAATATGCTATCCATGGGTGATTGATGATATGCAATTCTTTTTGAATTAATGTTACAGCATGCTATTCAAAATTGGATGAAGTTTTGAATTTTCTCTTAATTATACCAGATCATCAAAAGAAAAAAAATTGCCGATAGATAGTGTTAATTTGACTCGTTCCATATAAATGTGATTGAAGGTTTCGAATGCCAAAAAGCAATCACAGCCAGAACCTGTCAAGATTTCTCTGAAGGACTGCTTAGCATGCAGGTGAGTCATCATACTCTTTCGCTGCGTCATATGAATTGCTGTAGGATGTGTAATTTGACTTGGAATCCATGCATAGGCTATTTGTATGTTTTTTTTTTTTTTGATAAGTTCTATTTTATTGGTATTTTTTCAATGAACGAGGTTGTTGCCTTTTTGGATTGTTGAATACTAATTTCTTGTTGAATTTTTATGTAAATTTGGTTGTTCACGTCTTGGTATTTGTTTTTTTGGTCTCATAAATGTAAATTAAATTAACAATGTAACGACATGTAGCATAATTTTTTATAGTCGCTTCGTCATTACTTGTTTATTATATAGATTGAGCGAAGATCAACTATAAGTTTCATAGATGGTGTATCGATACAGTTATTATTTGAGGGATCAAATTGAGAAATACCCCATATGCAATGGATCAAATCGATTAGACAATTCTATGAGAGACCAAATTATAAATATCCCATTACTAGGGAGGAAACAAGGGATTTGAGCCAAATACTTTGTAGCTTTGCAATTTAAAGTCCTATGTCACAGACCCTATAAAATCGATATTATCAACATGTCTGTTGGGTAATAGGAATCAAAATGGTGAGATTTCTTCATTTCAAGTTGCAAAAATCTGATGAGATTGATATAAAGGAAGCTTTTTTAAAGCTTGGCAATTTTTTTCTTGGTACAAGTTCTAACTGGAAGTATAATTTTTTGACAATCCAGTGGGTGTGTCACATCAGCAGAGACAGTTATGCTTGAGAAACAGGGTTTGGATGAGTTTCTGTCCAATATTAATAAAGGAAAGGCTGTGATTGTGTCTCTCTCCCCCCAGTCAAGGGCTTCACTTGCAGTTCATTTTGGCATTTCTCCACTTCAGGTGACTTATGGGATATTGCCTTTTGTCGTCATGATTAAATTTTTAATATATTTGGCTGAAATTCATCATTTTTCTTCTCTTTCCCCATCAGTTTACACGTGAAAGTTTTGACATTTCAGGTTTTCAGAAAGTTGACAAGATTTCTCAAATCCTTGGGAGTGAAGGCAGTTTTTGATACAAGTTGCAGCAGAGACCTAACGCTTATTGAATCTTGTAATGAGTTTATCTCAAGGTATAAACAGAACCAATTGGTTGATGCTGAGTGTTCTAAATCAGACCTACCGATGATTGCATCAGCATGCCCAGGTATATATCTATGTTTGCATATCAATATCTGGAAAATGTCGGTCATATTGCTTCTATAAAGCACACAATTACGAGAAAAACAGGTCCATGTCACATGTGTAAAATGTTAGATAAATATATTCTAAATATGAACAAATACATGTAATCTGCTTAAGATGTATTCATCATGTGTTCAAACATGTTAGACAAGCGTTCAAGAAATGTTATGATACTTTATTTATTTTTTTTATTTTTAAATCTAATGGGAAACTTGATTGGGATTTCAGAGTGTGGTATGGACCACTGAGTTCCTCAAAGACACATGATTTATCTATTCAATTTTTTGTATTTTGGGGTATAGCATACACATTGAGAGAGGGAAGGAGGGGTTGGGAGTGCTTAAATTTACCATGCAATGTGTTGGATAGAGTTGGGTATGGGGTCAAGAATAGGGTGAAGAAAATGCTGGCCAGTTCAATTAACAGTTGTTTTTTTATAGGCTGGATATGCTATGCCGAAAAGCAACTTGGATCCTTTGTTCTGCCTTATATTTCAACAGTCAAGAGTCCTCAGCAAACAATTGGAGCTATCTTAAAGCACCATGCATGCCAAGATATGGGATTTAGGTAGGCTGTCCATTTAATTATCTGTTTTCTGTCCATATGGGTTTGAGTAATAATATGATTGGAATATTTTTTAATCTACTGTTGACTTTTCAAAATCCACCATTTCTTTGATCAATGTTTCTTTTGTATGCTCGAAATGATAGGCTAATTTTTCTTAATATTTATTTGCTTAATAAAATGTCTGGTGAATTGTCTGGCAGAGCTGAGGAAGTTTACCATGTTACTGTGATGCCTTGTTATGATAAAAAGCTGGAGGCTTCTAGGGATGACTTTGTTTTTGACTTGGAGTTCCATGAAAATACGGATCAGAGTGAGTTTAATAGAATTCCAGAGGTAGATTCAGTATTGACAACTGGAGAGGTTTTGGAATTACTTCAGGTCAGAAGTTTCTATGTTCTCATTCTAATAAGTTTTTCCCTTTTAGCTCGTGTTATCTAGTATTAATACCTTTAATGATCCAATCTTACAGTTAAAAGAAGTTGATTTCGGGAGTTTGGAAGAGTCCCCTTTGGATAGACTGTATGGACCTCTTATTTTAGTTGATTTTCTCTGTTTGTCAATTGTCAAAAATTAGTGTTTATATGCTGCTTCTTGCAGGCTGACAAATGTTAATGAAGAAGGATACCTTTATGGGGTCCGTGGAAGCTCTGGAGGTTATGCAGAAACAATTTTCCGAAATGCAGCAAAAACACTATTTGGAAGACAAATTGATGGCCCTCTAAACTTCAAAAATGTTAGGAATTCAGATTTCCAGGAAGTTTCTCTGGAGGCATGTTCTTGTAAACTTATTCATGTTACTTATATATGTGTCTATTCCTTGTAAGTTGTAAGCTTGTCGTTTGAACCCAAGATCTCAATATGTCTGGTTATGGAAGTGCCAATTAATTATCCAGAAAAAATATTATTTTCAGGGTCCATTATTTATCCTTAATGCAATGTTGCTATGGTAACCTGATACTATCATGTACCTTAGCCACAGGGTTCTTGATGTCACAGTAGTTAAAACAGTCTCTGCAGGTTGCTTTTTTAAGCTACAGTTCATTTCTCTGGCTCAATATATTAATTCTGTATTATTATTGTCTATGCAGGTGGAGGGAAAAACTGTGTTGAAATTTGCTCTATGTTATGGTTTCCGAAACTTGCAAAATATTGTTAGAAAAGTTAAAAGTGGGAAATGTGATTACCATTTCCTGGAGATCATGGCATGCCCTTCAGGTCGTGGTCTCTTACTAGAAATTCCGTTACTTCAATTGATGTGGTGTTGCTTTAATGAGGCCAGGAAATTGGATATGTATTGACTAAAATGAATTGAACCAGGTTGCTTGAATGGTGGAGGTCAAATCAAGCCAAAGCCAGGACAATCTCCGAAAGAGTTGAGTGAATTATTGGAAATTGCATATATGGAAAATGTAAGTTTAATCTGTCTAGCGAGTATTTCATGGTCGCACTCATTTTGCATGGCAGACATACTCATGATATGTGTGTGTGTGTGTGTGTGTGTGTGTGTGTGTGTGTGTGTGTTTGTGTGTTTTGGTGTGGGTTGTCTGCATCTGCATCTGCATGTGAGGTGTGAGCATATTAATGGTTCATATTCTTGTTACATTTGTCATTCTGACCCTTATGAAATCTTTCTTCCATTTTTTTTAAAAAATATTTTATCCTTTATCATTCCTATAGGAGGAAACGTAAGATATTCAAAAATGACATTTGCATTTTATATGGAAGGTGAAACCTAATTCAACCAAACTTATAGTTAATGGATCCCTTCGTATAAGCCAATTTCCAATTTTTTTTTTTTGTTCCTTTTGTTTTGGTTAAGGAGGGGGTTGGGAGAGGTGAAAGTTCGAAGTCTTGTATTTCTTAACAAACTGTTTTTCTGCAAAAAAATTTGAAATTAAATTTTTGTCAATTTGCTAGGTTTTGGTAGCGGATCCCTTTAAGAATCCTATTGTGAGAAGTTTATATGACAAGTGGCTTGAGCAGCCCGGGTCTGAAAAAGCTAGGAAACGCATTCACACGGATTATCATCCTGTTGAGAAAAGCATTACTTCTCAGTTGAACTGGTGAGAAGATTCGGCTTAGAAGACGTTAATGACCTTCATTCCCTTTCCGGTGTGGAGTTGAAAGTTTTGTATTCATTATTGTCAAGGTAATATTCCTGTATCAGGTAGTAAGTTTCCTTGAATCCCTTTGCCCTTCAATGTTTGCATCTATGGAGTCATACAGTTTATCGTAGTTAACAGTTTTTCTCATCCGCACGAAAGTATATACCCTTTCAATCTGAAACTATTTACTAACATGAAAGAATCTCTACATATTACTTTCTAGATTTTTGGTTTAGTTGTTTACTTCTTCCATAGGGATGAGTTCTGGTTTCTCAGCAGAAGATCCAACCACTTCTGCCTTTTATATATAGATATGTGAGTGATTATGTTGGAGGATGATAGAGGCCTGTTGTTATAGCATTATAATATTGACATTTCTGTTATTGTTGTTATTAGTTACTGTCATTAGTTGTTTGTTAGTGTTGGTTAGGATTATAGCTGTTGGGGGTAGGTGAGAGTTAGAGGCCTGTATAAGTGGCTGGTTACCTACGTAAACTTCATGGCTTAGTATAATCAGACTCACTGCATTTCTCTGAATCTCTCTACCTTTCTGATCTCCTCTCTCTCTCTCTCTCTCTCTCTCCGTCTCCTCTGTTTCCCTCTCTTTCTCTTCCGAATCACAATCATGGATCACCTGTACGTGGATTGGTATCTAAAAGCCACCCTTTGTTTTCAGGGATAGTAAAATGCAAAGCATTATTCATTGTTTAATTTTTATTTGTTCTATTTTTACTTGTTCCTCTGAGATTCCTGATTCCAATTTCTTTATGCGTCTTCTGAAAATTGCTGTGCTCAAGTTCGTAATTATAGTGTAGAAAGTAGTCTTGCGTAAATTTAGGGAACTGCGGGAGAGTAGCGGCATTGTTGGAATGCTATATTTTTCTTTCAAATTTGAAGTAAATTTCTGGGGTCTTGGCAATAATAGAACAAGATTTTGATGTACATGAGGATGATGTCCTTTTCTTTTACCCCGTCCCAGGCAGATATTACAGAAGTAAAAACCATAAATTACACAGGCAGGGGAGGTCGAGCAAAGTGAAGGATAAGGATGATAAAAACACGGGTCAGCAGTATCGCCAAGACTTTTAAGGGTATGTATGGATTGAAGAAAGAAGGGATTGTGTTGAATTATATTTAAATAATAATCTATTCCTTCAAGTCAATCCTTTCCCAATCCAAATATTCCCTTTGTGAAACCTGTTTAGCTAAAGCCTTGAGGTCATTTCAGCAATAAAAGCCATACAAAGAATGTACATGGATGATTCAGGTTTGTAAATAAATATGAACTTGAGTTCATGTTTTGGAGCACTGGCTTTAACGCTCTGGATTTATGCTTGTTAATTTAATTGTAATCTCACCTCGTGATCTTTGGGTTTTCATCTCGAGATTATTATGGAATTACGTGTTGCTAGAGATTGATTATTCATATTGGTTTTTGGCCAGCTTGAATTATCTTGTGTGTAATTTATTCTCTAATTTCAATGTACATTTAATATATCCCTTTAAATAATGGACGAGTTATTCCCATTTTACTTAGATATGCAAGTTAAATGGTCTTTCTATATATTATAAAATGAAATTCCAAGAATCGTATATGTTTAGGAAGTCTGTGTTTTCCAAATGAGTGTTTTTGGGTACGTTTTTATAGTTCTAATTTATCGCTCAAGTTTTGTTTTTGGAAAAACAATTACTTTATTTTAATTCATATACCGTTATTGAAGTACGGTTTTTTGGCCCCCCTCCAAAAAAAAAAAGAAAGAAACAAAAGAATATAAGTATTTGTGCTCATATTTCTCATTGAAATTAATTTTGAATGCAAGCTGTGATTGGATGAAGTTATATTATATTTATGTTTTTGACCGAATGAGGTTCTATGATATCAAGTATGATTAAATGATGAGAAGTTGGGGCATCAAATCTTATTTTGTGGATGGGTTATTTATAAATATTTTTGTAAGTACTTTTTTGAGCATAAAAGTGCGTCTTTATTTTGGTGGGTTCTTGTGATTTAACTTGCCTAAGGTTTTTGTACCAAAAAAATAATGATAATGAAACGTCGTGGTAAAAGGGAATTATATCTTTGAAACGTAGATGTGATAAGATTTCAAGTCATTGAATGGTCTTACAGTTACTTCTTTAGTCTTCTTTATAACGTAGGAAGATAAAATTATTTTTGATCATATTTATAAATATTTAATTATTTTTATATTTATCTTTATTTCTTACCCTTATTAAATTTAGAAACAATTATTAAAAATAATTTTTTTGGTTTTAATTAGGGTAGAGATTAAAATTTAACAAAATTTAAAATAGTTAATAAAATTTAAAATTTTTTAATTTCAATTAAATTGTTAAAAGTGACATGTAAATAAAATTAAATATAATAATTTAAAAACTCCTTACATTGACCAGATATTATTAGGGTTGTATATATGTATGGTTGGCTAGGGCTTCATTCCAACTCAATACCCAACCCAATGCAATAGTTTGTGCATCGGCTTGCCTTTAGATTCAAGTCGGGTTTAGCCCATTCCAAAAAATATTTTTTAAGAATGTTTTAAAAAATATGAAATTAATTTTTTAATTAATAAAAAATATTTAAAATATATGCTTAATAATCATCTATTATTTTTACTTAATGTAAACTTATAAAATTAGAAAGATCAATTTTACATTTTCATAAATATTATAAAAATATAAAATTATAAAAAAATAATAACAGCAGCAACAATAACAACAACTCTAAACAAAAATAATACTACAAATATTTTTTTTACAAAAATTTAAAAGAAAAAATAAAAATTATATATGTCTTTGGGTCAACTCGGGCAGGGCAGATATTAACCATCACTTGACACTGGCCCCAAGTTTAGCCCGAGCTGGGCTACTAGGCTGCATGAACAGTTCTTGATATATAAATAAAGCACACGGCGTGACGGTATATAATAAAAGCTAGGGGCCTAGGATATATATAGAATTGGTCAAGTCCTTGTGATAAAGAAGGGGACGTGCAACCAAGAAAAAAAGAATGAAAAGAAAAAAAAAAAAGGGAATGTGTTGGCAGTGCATGTTTGAGGACTCGAATTTAATAAAAATTAAGCTCACATGTTTTAAAAAATTATCAAAACGTTACGGTCAAAAGAAGAAGGTAATGGTTATAAAAAGAGCAAACGAAGAAAGAAAGATATTATATGTTATGAAGCCAAACTTTAAAGAAGATTAGTGTAAGTTAATCTTGAAAACTTCTAGAATTTTAAAGATTATTCCATGCCCATATTGAATTCCAACCTTAATGAATCAGTTATGCATACAATAATATTAACGTTGATTATTCTTAAATGCTACTTTTTTATATCACCAAGTCTCTGCCAAGCACTTGCATCTATAATCGTATCGCAATCATGCATACAGGTACAAATTTTCCTGTTGAAAATAATATAATATACACAGGCCAGGCTGATCATAAGCATAAAGCAAAGCAAGTGTCAGGTATGTGTGAATCTAACTAGAAAGATAATATATTCTCATAATAAAATGATCATCTTTCATTGATTCCCCCTCAACACACAGGGAAGTAATGATGACTATGAAGAATAAAAAGCCTGAGAGCCCCCAGAAGCACCACCCAAAAGGAAAACATAAAAAAAGAAAAAGAAAAGGAGAAAAACAACGAGAGAGATCAACATTTTTAAGATTAAATCTAGAAATTTTATTATTGATCTTATCCATGTTAAATTCACCATATTACTATATACGGAAGAAATGTTTTTTTAAAAAAAATCTCTACATTGTAATAACAAATATTTTTCTCTCGCCATCCATCATCATTAGATGCCTTTGGATTAGCTTGAGCAAGTATGTGCATATATATATATATATATATATATGCATGTATAGATCACATACATGTTTCAATACTATAGACAAGTAAGCGGCTCCAATTCAGAAGAAGGAAAGTAATTAATATAATTTCCAACTCTCTGTGTGTGGGTGTGAACTGTTTTTGTTGTAGACTATATCTATATATCATGATCAGATCAAATTATTTGGAACTATATATATAAGCGTCCTTAAAAGGAAGAAATGAATAAATGGAACACTGTAGATTCAGTGGATGGCATAACTCTACTTAATGAATAACTGTTCTACGTGATGTGATAATAATTGTTTGATTTAATTGAATGATTATTGGAGATTTTGTCATATGATACTAAAAAAATACCAAATCTCAAATTTTTGAAAAAAGTAACATACATAAAGAGTATTCTGATCGAGTGAGTTGTTTTAAATTTTTTTTTAAAAACATATCTTAATAATTTTCACCGTTGATAAAATTTATTGTTTATAATCGAGACACTCATTGTAGATATGAGTGGATTTAATCCATTCCCTTGTATCCAAATAATCTGAAACAGAACTAGTCGTGTTCTGTGTGTTGTTGTTTGCGGAGATAAATTGCCAGTATGTTTCCGGGGGAAAGTGGTAAGTATAAAGGTGATGCCCAAAATCAAGCTTTAAATTACTTGGAATCTTGCGGACGCCCTCAAAATTCAAAAGGCGTGCCGCCCATTGGGGAAATTCGCCACAATTATTAAGACCCAATTTTCCTTCGTCTTTAATGTCTCTCCAATGAAATAGACCCATGTGTGCGTCAAAAGTAATCAAGGGGTGGGACGCAGGGGTAAAAAATGGAGTCCGGTAGTTCACAAACAAGTGAGACGAACAACAATATAATACATGGCATTCGTGCAATAATCAATCTCCCAGAAGATTAACAGACAGAGAAAGAAATGGAAAAATGTGAGGCAAAATCATCAAAATCAGAAATATACAATGGACCATTCATTTTTGCAAGGTTCTTGAAAGAGAAGGCCCAGAAGCAAACAAGAGGTTGAGGGGGTCTTGTCGCAGGAGCGATGACGCTACAGTGTTCAATTCTTTGCATTCCTAGGGTCATCGCCCTGCGACACGATGCCCTCTAATCTCTCTTCAATTTATACACACTCGTATATATATATATATATATTATATCTTACACTTTACACACACACACCCTTCATATATTCGTTCATTTCCTCCCTAGATTTATGTATTTCAGTGTGAGTTTATTAATCTCCAGTGTAGTATTCTTGGATCAGTTCACCATCAGATATACTACTGATCAGAAGCCAAGATGATGATCTATACTCACTGAGGCTCTAATTAAATTAATGCTGATGAATGCATGCCTGCAGCTTCATTGTTAATTTTCAGTAATTGCTTCTTATTTGTATTTGCACTGCCTCTTTATCAGCTCCATCTCGATGGTTTGCCCTAACCTAATTAAAATATCCCTCTTTATGTTTCTTCCAATTATGATTGCATTTTTCTTGGCAGATAATCTACCAATATGGATCACTTGGATGTGGAATATCAGTTACAACGCCTAATTAGTCGGCTCCATTAATTCCAAAAGCAGCATCTCCGTCCTTGTGGACGATGACGTAATACTGTCTCGGTTCATTGGAGATAGGCAATCAGGTTCCACATGTAATTAATTCCTCCTTCGTCTCTTCCATTATTAGCTGTACGTACCATGAACTTGCCTGTAAGTTTCTTGTGGAAATAATGACATTCTTCCATTCAACTCTTGTCTAAACGACTCGTGTTTTACTGATGATGTATGATCAAACCTCCACATTTAAAGCTGATATTTGCTATATTATTCTGATGAGTCACTGCAATTTCAGCGCCCCATTTCGTTATCCTTATTTTTAAATAAACAAGCTTATATACGACGTTGATAATGCTCATACTTCATACTGACAAGAAACTGAATATGATTTCATGTCTGCAGATGATTTCGATCATCTTTGCTTTTTCGGGGATCAAGCACCGACAACACCCAGATCCAATTAACGGAGGGAAAAACACCCTCATCCATTTAAATTGAAAGTTATACTATTAGAGCATGTGACACACACACGACTTCAGATTCATTCGTTCTACTCCATAATTGCCTGATAGATCTTAATCAGACCTTCCCCTTCTCGGCCTGGATGATAAGAATTATATTAAGAGACGATCGATTGATTAGGATTTTTTGAGTTCAGGATATAACATGTTCACCATCTGCTTAGATCATCCATGTTGATTAATTCTTTTGGTGGAACAGATCAGATTGAATAGTTTCTACTTTCATGACAAATTAAATACTATTACACTTTGTTAATTACTCCCTTGTCATGCACGGGAAAATAGCAAGAGATGTAAGAGGGCAGACCAGGTGTGCATAGTGGATAAATTTATATATGTATGTGGATAGTGCTAACACAATCGAATTATTAGCACTAAATCCACATAATAATTATAGCTTTACTATTAGGCAGTGTTTGAATTGATGAATTTGAATTTTAAATTTTAGATTTATAATATTACATATAAAATTCATATATTTAAAATATTTATTT